GACTTGTCCGGGAATCCAGATCTCTCAGGCCACCTACCAAACTTTTCTAATGCAGCTTCTTTAGAAACACTATGGATAGACTCGACCAACTTTTCCTATGATAAATCAAGCAATTGTAGCAATTTCAAGGCATTGACAGAATTGGTTATCGATGGAGAAATAATTTCCACAAATTTCCGTTCTTCATTTGGTATGCTTGCATCCTTGCGCAGATTGACCGTGATAGGACTAGATTCACCAAGACAATTGGAGTCACTCTTTTCTTGGTTTGGAGGCATCAAGAACCTGAGAAGCTTGGAGTTCGACTTCTGCGACTTGTCCATGACAATACCTTCATCCATTGGAAATCTCAAAAACTTAACAAGTTTAGTCATTTCTGGGAGCAAGCTCACAACACAAACATTATCATCAGTTACCAATATTATAAACCTGAAATTTCTCAAAATCGAGTACAATGATGGCCTTGCTATTCCATCTGCTATTGGGAATATGACTAACTTGGAAAGATTGCACATCCTGAATTGTTGGAGTTCTCGGCCAATAGGCCCAATACCACATGAAGTTGGCGCACTGAAGAAGCTGGAATCACTAGTACTACGTTCTATGGGTCTTTCTGGCAGAATACCAAGTACAATTGCTAATTTGACTCAGCTGATTGAGCTGCATCTTAACGAAAATTATCTCAGTGGTATGGTTACCTCACTCGCTCATTAATTTACACCTAATTTCTTTAAAAGCTCACTCCATACTATTTGGAACTCCTAAAATTGCACTGTTTTTTTTTTTGTATTTTTTGTGTTTTCTATACTGATCCTTGTGATCTTGTCTTGTAATGAACTACAGTAGTGGAACCAATGCATTAATGTTGAAATTTCGTTGTTTAAAACCTTATGGAATTTATATTAAGTTTGAGTGTGGGTGTGAAAGGATAAAGTTGGACTAAATTTCAATGTGCATCATTCATTGTTTTCCGAAGAATGTAATTCCGTATGCAAGCATAGTATCTCCTTGGAGGGGCAGTGCATATGTGCTACGGTGGTTGCAAAGTGGAAGGGATTCAAGGGGTTATGGTATACTTATTGCATTATTTTTATTGGGTTGGATCAAATTGATTCCTTATGTGATGCATATAACAATGCAGTTAGGCCAGTCTAGTTTTTCAACCTAAAAACTGAATTAGAAACAATGGTCAGAACCGTTTTAGAAATCAAATAAAAAAATAAACTGAAAAAAACCACAAAAATATATTATGGTTTTGTTTCTAGTTTTGTCTATTTCAGTTTAGTTCTCCACCACTCTTTACTTTAGTAGGATAGGACGTGAGGCTAGCTAAGTTTCCACACAGTTTCAACAAGTGTACATAAAACAAAGTTCTGTAGCATTGAAATTCTATTAGTCTAGTAGCATCCACAACTGAACTAAATTTATTTTCTTTGTGCAGGAGAAATCCCAGCATCTCTTTTCATTCTTCCAAAGCTTGGCTACTTAGATCTTTCACAAAACCAACTTTCTGGTCCCATACATGAATTCGATGGAGCATGTTCATGCTTGAGGTTTGTATACTTGGAAATGAATAATTTGACAGGGCAGATTCCCCAATCATTGTTGGTACTCCCAAATTTGACGAAACTCGATATTGAGGGCAACAACTTAATGGGCTCAGTGGATCTTGCATCACTATGGGGAGAGAAGCTCACTTCTTTATTTCTTTCATACAATAAGCTGACTGTAATAGAAGGGGAGGATACTAACAATTCTTCATCTACCTATCCCCATCAGCTTATGGACATAGGACTTGCTAGTTGCAATATGACAAAAATACCAAAGTTATTAATGCATGCCAAATATGTGACTTATCTAGACCTTTCAAGTAATAAAATCAGTGGGGATATACCAAGTTGGATATGGGGTAGATGGAATTATAGCCTCAAGTGGATAAGTCTTTCAGACAACATGTTCACTGGTATGGAACTCAATTCATATGTTATCCCATTCAGTAATACCTTGTATAGTTTCAATCTTAGCTTCAACAGGCTTCAAGGATCGATTCCTATGCCATACCCATCGGCTCAATTATTGGATTATTCAAATAACAGTTTCTCTTCCCTTCTTCCAAACTTCACGTTATACCTTAGCTACAATGCGTATCTTATGTTGTCACACAATAATATAAGTGGTTATTTGCCACGTTCAATTTGCCATTCACCTTTGAATGTCCTTGACTTATCGTATAACAACTTTAGCGGACCGTTACCACAATGCTTGATGGAAAATACATTTTTGACAATAATAAATTTGAGGGAGAATCAATTCAATGGGATGCTACCTTCCAATATTTCTATTGGATGTCATGTCGAAACAATAAATTTGAATGGCAATAAGATTGAAGGTCAGCTTCCAAGGACACTCTATAGTTGCACTAACTTAGAGGTTCTTGACCTCGGAAGGAATCAAATTGCAGACACTTTTCCATCCTGGCTAGGGGGACTTTTGAATCTTCGTGTACTTGTCTTGAGATCCAACAAGTTCCATGGTTCAATAGGTCATCTTGAAGATGAAAAATACAGAGGACGACCCTTCTCTAGCTTGCAAATCATTGATCTGGCCTCAAACAATTTCTCTGGAAAATTGCATCCGCAATGGTTTGAAAATTTGAAATCAATGAAGCAATATGACAATAGAGGACAGATAATAGATCATACAGTCATACCGAGACTTTACCAAGACTCTATCACAATATCATGCAAAGGGCATCCCATGACCTTTGAAAGGATCTTAACTACCTTAACTGCAATAGACATATCAGAGAATGCACTGGAAGGAAGCATTCCTACTTCGATTGGAAATCTGCATTCACTACGTCTACTAAACATGTCTCATAATGTCTTCACTGGAAAAATTCCACCCCAACTTGGTAGCATAACTGCTCTGGAATCCCTGGACCTGTCTTCCAACATGCTATCAGGTGAGATTCCGCAAGAGTTAACTGATCTCACCTTCCTTAGCACCTTGAATTTGAGCAATAACCAATTGGATGGAAGAATACCACAATCACATCAATTCGACACGTTCCAGGAGAGCTCATTTGATGGCAACGCAGGACTCTGTGGACCCCCTCTATCCAAAAAATGTGGCCCTTCGGATATTCCAAGTGAAAGACATCTGAAAAACTCCTCTCATGGTGTCGATGTTGTTTTGTTTCTCTTTGCTGGTGTGGGCTTTGGAGTGGGATTTGCAGCAGCTATTGTATTGAAACTGGATTATTGGATCAGCAGGTGGTTCCATATTTTCAGGATTCTATGTTGACTTGAAGGTGCCTGATTGCTATATAGGAGGTGTAATATGTCATGCACAAACAACTTGGTGGTACTGCATATTCTACGGTAGCTAATTATACAGTATGGTTTATGCTATCCTTAGCACATCAAAATAAGTGTTAGCTGTTTTGTGTATGTAATGGAACCTGGAACCTAGGTTTGTTTAATTTGTCACCTTGGCTTACTAGTATTTGTTGGTCTTGTTACTATATGTCATCAGTGATCATTGTTCATCAAAGTGGTGTCACAGATGATAAGTACACATTTTCTCAATGTCCAAGAAACTGCTACTTCATCTGTGACTTATGCTCTAAATCAAACCTATTATGAACTAAGTGCATGTGTTTCCTTTCCCATATTCCTTTACAATGATGGCAGATTGGGTCTGCATATACCACTCACCAGATACTGTAACATGAGGTATATATAATTTGGATTGGTAACGGAAAAAGTATCCCGGGTGTGTCATTATGCTTGTGGCTACACCCAGAAGAGTACGCTGTATCATCTGTGAATGCCAGTCAAGACTGCATTTATGCTACTAGTTATTTTAGAGTATGCTACTAGTCGAATTGCAACGGCTTGCAAGATAGAAGTGGGTACCGTGGGAGACATAACATACTGCAAAACCACAGCAGGATGTAGTATGAAGTGTATATTAACCTTTCCGACAAGGCTATAGATTTTGTCATTTACATGGGTTGATTGTTTAATAGTCACAAAATGCCATTCACTCCTAGTACAGGGCATTGGCGTGCGGTAGAGTATTCAGAATAAGGAAGATCAGCTGAGTTTCTTTCTCATATTCATTGTAAGAAAAAGCGTTCAGTGTATGAACCACAAGATCGCTCAACAGGCCTTTTGTAAGAACACCGAAGAATGTATTTCCCTTGTAACACTCAAGTATGTTCTTGGTAGTACACTGTAATAATGCAAAACCATACATGCCAAGCTCCCGACATGCAGTTTATTCCTCAACGAAAGACACGCCTAAACTAAGGTTCAACACGAAAAACAGCAATCTGTTACATCATGAACTCTGTTGTTTCAAGATCGTTACAAGAGGAAGTCTCTGGGGTCCGTAACGTACCCTGTCAGGGCTGAGGCAGCTGCAGTGTAGGGAGATGCCAGGTAGATCTGCCCTTCCTTGTGTCCCATCCTGCCCGGGAAGTTCCTGTTCGTAGTAGACACGCAGACCTGCATCCAGGTTACCAGATCCATATGTTAAATTCATCACTCATCAAAGCCGCCCAAGTCAACAAACTAGAATTTCAAAGCACTTGCTGTTTTCCATCACAGACTCAAGGACTTCAATCGATGGCAAAAAGCTCTACAATACATGTAGTTTCAACTGCCACTGATAGCATCTATACATAGAGAGAGAAAAAAGAAAGGAAAAAGAATATGAATCCCCCAACAGGAGGGGCGAGGGGTCTAGTAGTAATGTCTTATAAGAAGGTACTAGTGCTAAAATCTGCACAGGGCGCATTTTTGTTTAGTGATTCCAGCCATAGCTATTCAGTAACAACATTAAAACAGCAACCTAGCACATAACTGAGACAGAGGTACAATTATGTACCCAAGTAAGCATAATTTGCACATCAGCTAGCCCGTCAGAGTGTGAAATTTGTATAAAAAGGGGCATACCCAGTGCAGAGAGCTCCCGCTCTGTGCGGGGTCTGGGGAAGGGTGTCAATGGCAAGCCTTACCCTCGCCTGTGCAATGCGAGGAGACCGCGACTCGAACCCAGAACCTTCCGGTCACAGGCGGTAAGACTCTACCGCTTGCACCAGGCCCGCCCTTCAGAGTGTGAAATTTGTATGTGCACAACATATATTTTATCATTCAATAGTTCTTGGCTTTATCATTCAATAGTTAAGATAACATAGTAACATACTAATTTGTAACCTAGAACCATAGTTACCCACCCTTAGGTATATACTAAGTACCATTCCTATAGAAATGCTTCTAGATTTGCATGTGATACCCACCAAAGGTTCATTCATCCGTGCATATGTATCACGAGGGCCACCCAAACAAGCACCACAGCTAGGACTTGCTGGTGTATCACAACCAGCCTCCTCAAATATCTGGGAGCAAGTTTTGCCACCAGAGCCTGGTACAGGGAGGCTATATACGTCCATCCACACCTGCAGAGATTTCACAATATTTCCAAATTATGAACAAGTCTACACTCTACACGGTGATCACATTGGAATATTTTTATTCTAAATATCACCTTTTGTGTAGCAGGGACAAGAAATGTGGGAACTTTAACCTTCTTTCCCTGGATTAAGAAAAAAAAGTTTCCAGTAAGTCAAGTAGCCATGGGATAGGAGGTCTGAAAGATAACAAGTGCGTGCACCATGATAGGATTCAAGCTTCTTACCGAGGCTAAGAACACCTTTGCAGCAGCAAGGAAGTCCTCAGTCTTACCACCAGTGCAAGAACCAATATAGACTCGGGTCGATCTTGACATCTTTGCATTCTCTTGCTGAAGCACGGTTGTCAGGCGAATGTGGCTGCAGATTCAAGACAGTTATTGCTTCGCTTTTATAGGAAAATCAACAAAAGATGAAGATTGCAAAATACTACATCAACAAACCTTGGCAACTACTGGCTCCAGTTTTGATACATCAAAACGGTAGTCACTAAAAAATCTGGGGAAAAAAGGCAATAAAATAAAATAAGCAATAAATCATGCGCAAGCTATATCAGATGGTCAGACAGAGACTGCAGAGTCAAATGTCTGGAAGGAAAGAATTAGACAACAAATTATATTTCTTGTATGTGCATAACATAATCAACTTTTAAAGACAAGAGATAAGAGAACATGGAAAAACTAGTGGTGTATCTTTTATCCATTTACTTTCAAAGTTCGATTTTGTCTAACAAGGACTCGTGATCTGTAAGGCAAATATTTTTAAAACTGAAAACATGCACATAGATGAATACATAACATGAGCTAAAGGTCAAGAAAAGCAAGGACAGCCTATAGTCACCTGGCCTGAGCATCACTGTAGACAGGTTCATAATCAACCGATGTCTTACCCTGCAGTATACCAGCACAACAACAATGATGTCAGAACTATCCTACAAACTAAACAGTAGAAGCTCATTTTTGCAAATTGTTCTGAGCACTCTCTATCTCAAAGTTATTGGAATGTTATGAAAGAAAAGCATATTGGTCCAACATTATTATGAGCATTTCAAGTTGACTAGTTTTGTACCTCAAGGTATTTAAATGTAGTTTCATCAGCAGGCACAACACCGTTCTTTCCACCAGCTTCAATAACCATGTTGCATAGTGTCATACGCTCTTCCATCTAGCAATTGTGTGAAAAGGACTAAGTTCAATGTTGCGCAGTGTGGCAATTAATTAAGATAATCTTGAGCAGGAAACACACAGTTAGACTTTCTACAGTTGATCCAACAAACTCCATTGATTTGTAGGTTGCACCAGATACTGAAATCTCACCAATAATCTGTAAGTAGCAATTAACAAGAATAAGAAGTCCCGATTACAGGTAGATCCTAAGAAAGGAACAAATTTAGCACAGCTTGTAAGCTTACTTGCAAAATCAGATCCTTCGCAAGTAAATAAGGTGGCATTTCTCCGTCTAATACAAACCTGATAGTAGGGGGCACCTGAAATGAACATTAAAACAGATCAAAACACTGTATTTCTTTTCTCTGGAGTTGACTGAAGCGTATCCACAATATATGACAATGCGATAAGAGGATGCACATAACAGATTTGAGAAAAGTCCTGCCTTAGTCCACAGAAATAACAGTTGCATGTGTTGTTTCACTGAGAAGAAAATAAATGCATAACAGATGTATAAGTAATGCTAACTGAAATAATACTGGATACGACACGCAATATTTCTATTATTGTTCTCCTTTGATGAAATGCAAGTCAGTGTAACAACAATAATATTTTATTGATTCTCATCTATCTTGAACTTTGATTTATAATATATAAAAAAAATTGTCACTCTCCTGACCAACAGATGAAATAGAGGTACAGTTCAGTTTGCATATAACCTGTTTTTTTCTTTTATTTTCTTTTCCTTTATGATTTTGGTTCTGTAAGACTGATTTTAAAATTTTACCTTCCGAGAGTAACAATAGCCATGGGCATACCTTGAGAAGAGCTTTTCCAGTGCCCAACACAAAACCTGCATCGGTGTTTCCAATTCCGGTTGCAAATTGACCAAAGGCTCCAGCATTGCACGTATGAGAATCAGTACCCAGGAGAACCTAGACAGCAATTGGAGCAGGTTAACGCTTCCCAACATGTTGATGTTGTACAATCACAGGTGACCTGTACTTGAAAGACTCAGCAAGGTACCTCGCCTGGTCGGCAGTGGCCTTCCTGAGCAAGTGCGATGTGGCAGACGCCTTTGTAGTCTGGATTAGCCTGAGAACAACTCTGAAATGTAAACTGTTCTGGAAGGGTGGAAAACTACAAGGAGCCTAAATTGGTACTACTATGAGGCAGAGAAGCTAAGATATGATCTAAATGAACCGAGAAGCAAAGGAGTGGGAAGCATACCTTGAAATTGCTGAGGTCCTTGATGTCATAGAAGTACTTGATGTTCTGCTCCACACAGAAGTCCCTGAGGATATCGACATTGCGGTTGGCGCGCTCGTCGCTGGTGAAGATGTAGTGGTCCGGGATGATGACGACCTTCTCGCGGTCCCAGACCTTGGCGTCCTCCCCGAACTCCTTCTTGAAGATGCCGATGGTGCCGGGGCCCACAGACGTCGTGCGTCATGAGCACGTCCACGTCCACCCACACGTTCTCCCCGGGCTCCAGCGCCGCGCGCTCCGACGCCCGCGCCAGGATCTTCTCCGTCATCGTCATCGCGCTCTTCACCTGGAGAGGGGCGGGCGGGCGGGGGCGGGCGGCCGCGCGTATTCGTATGTGTGTGAATCGAACACGGCGCGCAGAGCAACAGCAGTAGTTCGGGGTTCAGGGGGGAGAGGGGGGCGTACCGAGCCGGTGGACGACGGGGCGCGGGGGGCGCGCGCGGGCGAGGCGACGGCGCGCACGCGGCACGGCTTGGTCCGGCGGCTCGAGCCCGCGCGGTGCTGCGCCGGCGCCGGCGCCGGCGCGGCCAGCTCCTTCTGGGACGGGAAAGGGAAGCGGGCGAGGAGGGAGAGAGGGAAGGGGGAAGAGGACGGACCTTGTGGGCAAAGGCCGCGGAGGCCTTGGCGGCGGTGGAGATGGAGGAAGCCATGGCGTGGCGGCACGCGGTCGGCCGGGCGGGCGAAGCGTCGAACGCCCTGCGGGCGCGGCGGGGGTCGTCAGGTCAAGCGAGAGGGAGGGAGGGATTGGGGCGGGGCGGTGCGGCGCGTCACGCGTGTGCTGGGGGAGTGTCGTGTGGTGTCTGTGGGCCCGTGAGGGTCACCGGGTGAGGTGGGAAGTGGGCGAGCACACGAGGCGGTGGTAGCTGCGACTGCGAGTGGGACCAATATATAACGGTGGGGAAAGGGCTGAGGTGGATGGGTTTCAAAAGATCTCCCCATTGAGCAATGAGCTGTTTAGGCTAATTTCAACATATGAATGGGAAAAATAAGATTAAGATCCAACAGAGTGTATCCTCCATCTCAAAAGCACATTTGAGTATAAATAACAAAATAAAGATCCAGGTATCACAAATCATAAATCACATAAAACAATTTTTTAATGGAAAGACAAAATATGGTACATATTGGTTCCAATTGTTACAAAATTCGCGATTCAGCGTTAGCGTTTCTCTCTCCGTAAGATTTTGACTAATTCCTTGACCATAAACTTACATAGTAGTAATCAATCGGTCTACATATCCGATGCATCACGATTGACAAACATTAGAGTAGGCGAGAAGATTATAGTGACACACGGGAGATCGGCCAGATCTGGACATACCGAGGCAACGATCTGGTGGACTAAAATTTATGTGTTTTTGGAGCTAAAACATACTATTATGTTGTTATAGCATTTAAATATTTAAAATTAAACACGGCTTTGATACCCTCCGTATATGACCCCATTGAGCTATAAAATTTGTTTGGCTACCTTGTGACATGGGAAAAATGGCATCTACTTGGAGTGTTCCTCCATCCAAAAGCACATTTGAGTATAAATAAATAAATAAAAAGGTCCTCAAAATCGAAGCTTGATCTTCAATTTTTATATTACAATATATTACCAATTGTTACAAAACAACCTAATTCTAGTCATGTAAGATTTTGACTAATTGTTGACCATAAACTTACATAGTAGTAATCAATCTATCTACATATAAAATGCATCTTACATTGGCAAACATATAGAGTAGGCGAGAAGATTATAGTGACACGGGAGACAAGAGTGCTCATCTGCACTTTCTTGCCGCTGCAACATCGACAACTACATGGAGTGGAGCCCAACGGAGCTACTATTCGTATAGTTATGGAGAACTAAATATTTACAAGTAGTGGTCTTTTTTTTACCCTCCAGCTCCTAAATTATAGGTCTTTGTCCTAAATAAAATTTCTTTGATTCTGGTAAATTTGTAGAAAAGATATATATTTGCTAACTAATTGTTTGGTTCATTATTTCTATTGATCATTTTCTCATTACATATATGTTCTAGGGTTGGCATTGCGAACTTGTAGGTGTCAATATATATTCTTTGAAGATGTGGCTAAAATTAAAGAAGGTTGGTTTAGTGTCAAAGCCTAAGTGACCTATAATTTACTCCCCATGTTCCAATTACTTGCATTTTTAGCTTTTTAGAGATTAATATAGCGTTTATTATACACCTAGATATATGTTATGTCTAGATATATAATAAAGACTGTGTATCTAGAAATGCCAAAACGTCAACAATTTGGAACTAATGGAGTACAACTTATAACATGGAGTAATAAATTTGTTAGCCGGTTCCAAATTTCATCAGAACTACCTTAACAAAAAAACCAAACAAATCTACTCGGTTATTGCTAACAGCCATGTTTCTCTTTTGCTAGCTAATTGTTTGGAACTCATGGTTCCTTGGCCAACGACTCTCCCCAATTGGCATTTGCAAACTTGGACAAAACTGCTGGACAAGCAGCATTTGCAAACTTGGCCACTACGCTTGCTCATTTTGTGTTGTCAGCCCGTGAATGAATACGCGCACGTGGTCCATGTCCATCTACTTGCGTTCTCTTCTTGTTCATGCTAATTTGGCAGCCCATGAAGCTCAGCCTGGCCTAAACATCACTAGGGTTTGAACAGTGTGATTTAGGACACGAAGCCCAAGGTATAGCCATTTGGACTCGTTCTAATTTGCTTCGATTTCGATGCCCTCTCATACTATAGTGAGCCTAGTGTTTTAAAAAAACTATAGTGGGCCTGGTTTCAACTTAGAAATAAATAACTCCAATGAATTCCAATGCTATGTGAGTTAAGAAATATATAGAAAATAGGAAGATCAATGTAATACAAAAACGTGAGACACGAAAAACACCTATTCTCTTATAAAACTTATTTTATTCCATAAAACTTGTATTATCTTTCTTTCTTTTTTTATACTATGTCATATCAGTTTATTTAATGTTCATTAAACTCCTATCCACCTAGATTGGCCTAGGAACTCAATTCTTTATACAGTGTGATTTCATTGAATTATAGAAGATGTTCTAGAAACATCCAAGGGTAGATTCAATGCAGATTCTAGAAACACAGAATAGTGGTGGGCAGAAATAGAATTCCTCATCTGAATGCTATGGATTAAGAAAATATAAATGGAAGATCAAATGTTTTTAGTTTAGAAAAAACACATAATTTTGCTTTCCACGTTTCCAAGCCCTTTCATTACTTGATACATTTCTTAATGTTTGTGGTCGCTATTTCATAGGCTATAAAATATAGCTTTAAGGAAAAGAAATCTCAATATAGAATGTCATTTTTGAGAAAACACTCTTGTCTAGTAGATATCATCAGATTTAAGTCAGTTGGAGACACCAACTTCACCACCAAAGAAGGACCGAATCAATGATAATGGAATTGTGTTTGCATATATTTGTTACTGCGTAACAACGTATCAACATACTTCAATGAATAATACATATAGGCTTAAAATCTGAGAGATGGATGCAAATTTGCTATGGATGTGAAAATATTTTGTACTATGTACTAGCATAACTTGAAGAGTAAATCAATTTTGCAAAATCAGGGACTTTTAAGAGGACCGAATCAATGATAATGGACGCATATATTTGTTACTGCGTAACAACGTATCAAATACTTCAATGAATAATACATATAAATTAAAAATTGAGAGATGGATGCAAATTTGCTATGGATGTCTTTTTGTACTATGTACTAGCATAACTTGAAGAGTAAATTGCACAATAACTGTACGTGTCATTACAACAATTTTTAATCTGCTCTATGGAGAACAATAACTTGTCATCTTAGTGCATAAATGGTCCAAAAACCAATCTCTCACGTACTTGGCAGTTTAGGCTACGATTGGACTCGTACTATCACGTATACGGCTCGTGCAGCTCGTAGGTACACGGCTCATGCATATAGCAGCTCGTAGCTCTCGCAAGAGAGACGTACACGGCTCATATAGCAGCTCGATGTACACGGCTCGTGCGATGGGGACGAGCTCATCGACGTCGTCATCGGTGACCCGCACGAGGCATGGAGATCCCTCTGCAGCTTTCTTCCCCAAGGTCTCAGCCTCGCAAGCAGCTGCAGGTCTGCTTTCTTCCCTACGTGTCTAGTAAAGCAAGTTGTAGCAAAGATTTCCATGATTCTTTGCAACCTTGAGAGGGAGAGGGAGAAAGAAGATGCAGCATAGCTTTTGTCGATCAAGTGATTAAGTACGAGAAGCGAGAGGGATGTTGATATTTCAGACTACTTCATTAATTTTCAACAAGTTCTGCAAGACTCAACTATACTGAAAGTTTAAAATGCACTGCTTTGTTTTACTGATAAATTGTCTGGGCAAAACCAGCATGTTCCACACTAAATTACTGATAAACTTTCTCTCCTTGTCAATTGCAGGTCAAATTGACTGGCATGCCCTTAGAAATTCGTAGGATCAACTGGTCCTGCGTTGAAGCCAGGCAGATCTTCAGATCGTTCCGGCTTGCTGCGTGTCCACCTGGCGCGGCTACCACGTTTTCGCGCCGACAAAATCCATTTCTAGAAACATGTGGAATTTCCAGCCACCTCTAGAAATGGCAGTAAAGTCTAGCCACATCTAGAAATGCCATTTTATGAGGCGGTTGGTGTCGTGGGTTCATAACCACGGCGAGCATCATGGTTGTTCGTTAGAAGTCGATGTGTGAATCTTCGATGGCTCGGACACTCAAAGCACGGAAGGGACATAGCTCGATTTATCTTGGTTCGGGCTTCTGAGCCCTACGTCTAGCAGTATAGTGATCTTCGTGTTAAGAATGCCTAGTCGGGAGGTTACAAATGGTGGAATCGAGAGAGATTGGTAGGGGATCACTCAGTGCTATCCTAGAGTTCGTTGGTGTTCCACCTCAGTCCCTCGGTGTTGGCCGAATCAGAATCCTTTGATCTGTTTAACTATCTTCATTTGACTATCTTCCTGTCCGTCTATCTATCGAACGTCTAGCCTTCGTCTGTCTATCTATCCCCCCTTCTTTGGTGAGCCGCGCCTCCCCTTATATTGTGAAGAGGGCACGGTGTACAAGTCGGTTTTGCTCTAGTCTATGGTCTATGCAACGGATGCATGAGTCCTCTGCTATGGCGTTGCTGGATGTCGCCTTGTCGCGTAGGGAGGAGCGGACAGTGCCGCAATTGCACCTTGACATCGTTGTGACCGTTCCAGCACTTGACCGTTAGGGGCTGCCTGCTACGACGAGGCCTCCCCAGGTGAGCCTTCTTGAGGCTTCCTTGTCCTGCAAGGAGCCCCCGCCTGGAGGGGCTGACGAGAGGGCCCTAGAGCCCTTCACCCCTGAGGAGTTTGGTGAAGTCCCTTGTCCTGTTGTGTCATGCTGGTTGTGTGACCCTACCGAGAGGAGTGGACGACAAGGCCTCACGCTGTCAAACATGCAGACGTCGTGGCATCTCCATACCTATCAGGATTCGGGTGCCTGACCGGTTCCTGAGCCGGATTTTGGCCTATAGCTCGAGGCATCAGTTGTCGCTTGGGCACTGCCCGGGTGTGCAATGGGTGGAAGTCAGGCTCGGGCCGCCGTCGCTCAAAAGTCCAGGCCGTGGCTAAGCCCCCGAGCCTCGAGTGGC